AAAAAAAAAAAGAAAACAAAACCAATGACAAAAAGAAAGAAAAAGCCTGTAGATAGTTCAAGGACTGTTTGTTAGCCCTTAGGAGTGTTTTCCAGGCAAGTCTGATGGGGTGCCACGCCCTGGCCCCAAAGTCTATTTTTGTTATTCCCTGGGGACTTCATTGCTCTGTTCCTCTTGATGTTTTGCTGCACACCTTTAGCATTTTGCCTCAGTGTGGTGGGGTCTGATCGGGCATAATTCCCACACTGTGTCTCCAGTGTTGTCCCCTGTAGGGCTATGGGTCAGTGAGGGATATCATGTCTCATAGTGGGGCCCGTCATATGGTCTTCTCTGTGGATTGGCTGCTCTGAGCGGGGATATCGTCCTCAAGCTTGGTGCGTCAGGATTCACTCCACTCTCTCTTCCTCCCCTCTCATTTGCTCCCATGTGCTCTGATCAGACATGTCCCTCTCCCTGAGCTGAAGCTTCAGTGCTGTCCTCTGAATTAAATTCTTCTCGGGGGAGGGGCAGGTGTCCATGTAGTTGGGATTGGGCCCCCTTGTTCTGTTGGATTTTTGTTCCCCTCACCTCTAGGTCTCCCAGGGCTACTTCTTTCCCAAACCAGAGCATGATAGAGCTCACATGTACACGGCGCTTACTGAGTGCCAGCCATTGTGCTAAGGCCTTACTCATGTTGCCATGTCCTCTGGGTGAATCCTTATACTAGCCTTGGAGGCAATTGTCATCATTTTTCAGATGGGCAAACTGAGGGACAGATAACTCTGTTTTCCAAGGGCACCGAGCCGTCAGGGGTGCAGCGGAATGGGAAGTGAGGCAGTGTGGCTACAGAGACCCTGTGCTTAAGTCACTGCATTGCATGCCACAAAGCCAAGCTAGCCTCACGCCACCAATTCTTTCAAATGCTGAGGAGATTTAGGCAGAAAGCCAGCCCTGACTCAACCCAGGTAGACAGCCCAAGAGTGGCTAGAAAGGGAACCTTGTTCTTTTGTGTCCCGAATTTTGATCTACTTCCAGACTTATCTTTTAATTCTTTGTTAGACTTTATTGTTGTTGTTGTTTTGGCGATTTTAGTGACTTGCCCATTTGTATGGTCACATAATGAACTTTAGGCAGCACCAGGTCAAGTTCTCCTTGTGCGTCCTTGCCTTCGACTGTCCCAGGCCTGCAGCACACACAGGGCATACCTGGGCATTCTCAGCACCATCTGCTCTGGCCACCAATTACCATTCCTTGGGTGCACGTGGCTGCATGGAGCCTGCATCCTGTTTTCTTACTCCAAACACCTTGTAAATATGAGAGCCCAGAGGGATAAGCATTCACTGCAGAGTACCCCTGGGTGGTGCAAAGAGCTAACACATTTGGCTGTTGACCAGAAGGTGAGGGGTTTGAGTCCACCCGGAGTCACCTTAGGAGACAGGCCTGTGATCTGAAAAACCAGCTGTGGAAACTGGAGCATCGTTCTACTCTGACCCACACGGGTCTCAGTGAGTCGGAATGGACACAATGGGAACCGGTCATGAATTTGAAAGAAGTGGCCCTGGGAGACCTAGAGGTGAGGAGAGACAAGGCACTTTTAAAAAACAAAACAGACTGACAACCCCCTCAAAGCACTCCCTTTGGGAATGGCACTCAGGCCTGGCTTCAGTGTGGTCAGCTCTCTTTAAGGGTGACAGAGAGTTCCGCGTGAATTTGAGAGGGTAGGCCCAATACAAATAGCGTATAGTTCAACTGGTTAGGCACTTGACAACTAACTGAAAGGCTGGTGGTTTGAATCCACCTAGAGATACGGCAGAAGAAAGGCCTGGAAAGCTACAGGTCCCAGCCTTACAAACCCCATGAGCGATTCCACTCTGCGCACAGCAGACTGCCAAGAATGGGAATCCGCTTAGTGGGAACTGGGTTGAATTGCAGGGTGAGCAATTCTCACGCTCTTCTACAAGCAATTGATTCGGAAAACAGCGACACGAATTTTAAGTTACCCAAAATCCCAACTCCTAGCAGAACTACAGTTAGCATTTTGAGAAATAGTATTTGGTTCCATTCCGTTTGCTCTATTAATTCATGGTGACTGTGTCACACATGCAAACTGGCATCTCTGTCTTCTCTTTTGCATTCCATCAGCGTTTATTTTGTGTTGCCATCGCGCGTTTCGTATGATTTTTTTTTTTAGGTTGACCCAAATGTTATGAGTAAAATGAATGGGTTCTATGAAAGAAGGGAAAAGAGAAACATACAATCCAGAAGGAATAAAAAGGTCCTGGTCTACCAGAACACCGTGGGCGATCTGCTCCGTTTCATCCGGAATCTCGGAGAGCACATCCACGAGGAGAAGAACAGAGAGTAAGTCGGGTTTGCACCCTGGCGCCCGGGCCCTGTCGTGGCTGCGCACTGGGCTTCGAGCCTCCTGGGCGGCCATTTGCAGCCACCACCAGCAGCTCCCTGGGAGAAGGATGGCTTTCCACTCCGGTCAACAGTCAGTCCCAGAAACCCCCGGGGTCGCTATGAGTCAGCATTGGCTGGATGGCAGGGAGTCAGTGTTTTCACCCCTATAACTCATGTACGAAATGAGAACAGTTTCGATCTAGAATTCCAAATTTATATCCGCTGTTTGATGGAAAGTGTTTTGGTTTTTTAAAAATCATTTTGATGAGCAAAAAGTAATTGGCCCCTTTTTGTTTTGAAGAGGACAGGGCCTGGCGGTTAGTGATGGCCATGAAGAGTAGACTACAATCTTCCTTTCCAGCTTTTGCTGAGCCCACTTGGATAGCAGGTTTTTGAAAAAACACAAGAGAACCGGGCGGCTGAGTAAAGATGACCAAAGTCTAAAGATAGACAACCCCCCAGCCCCACCCCCCGCAGGTTAGTAACGTCAATGTCTGGCTGCTCAAAGTGTTAACTACAGAGTGTTTGGGAGCAAATGGCCAGGCTTGTCTTCCAAGGCATCTCAGAGTAGACACGGACCTGCCCCGCTTCATGGCAACCCCCACAGCACATGAAAACGTATTCCCCCAAAACCAGACCTGTTCATGTGGGGTGGGTTCTCACTCTGGGGACCCTGTGTGAGCCAGCAGGACTGAGTGCCCTGGTGGGTTCCGGGTGAACTGAGCACCCTGGTGGGTTCCGGGGGACCATCTGATTGAAACGGATCACCAGGACTTTCTCCCAAAGTGCCTTGGGGCTGATTTGAACCACCGGCCTGTCGGGAAGTAGGTCAGCACAAATTGGTCTTCCCAGCCCAGGGCCTGGAGATCTCTTAGGAGACGCCTAGGAATGCTCTTCTCTGAGGATCAACGGAGGAGTCTTTTGAAACAGCAAAGGACTTCGTGATGGATTGTTGTGCTTCCTAAAAATACGAGTTATCAATCCTAATCCCTGGACCTGTGTTCCTAATCCTATCAGGGAATGGGTTTTCTTGTTATCTTCATAATAGCATATCTTCATATCAAATATCTTCATAACTGATGTAGCATCAATCTCTTTTGAGTTATAAAAGAGGTTAAGCATACGCAAGCAAGTCACCTGAAGATTTCTGAGGCACCAAAACTCAAGACACAAGGACCTTCCTCCAGAGGCAGCAGAGAAAGAACGCCTGCCCCTAGAGCAGGGGTGGGAGCCCCTTTCATTCTGCGAGGGGCCACTCGGGTACTGATAACATCATTTTCAGGCCACACTGGTCAGACACTTCGTTAACTCACCCCTAATGTGAGCGAGGGCAGAACCTGCTTCTCCTTGCTGAGGCCTGGGATGAGAGCCGGCACTGGTGATTTCAGGGTCTTCCATGGCCCACACGGAGCCTGGGTAATGGGGTGGTTACACACTGGGCTCAAAACCACCAGCTGCTCTTAGGGACACAGATGGGGCTTGCTACTCCCGTAAGGAGGGACGGTGTCGGCCACTTCTCCACAGGGGCAGCTCCACCCTGCCCTACAGAGTGGCTGGGACTCACAATGGACTCCATGGCAGAGAGCTGGGTTTGGGTTTGGGTAGATGGCCCCCACCCCTATCATGGCCCTGGGCCGGAAATCAGACTTCTTGCTTCCTACACTGAGAAAATAAATGTGTCATGAAAGAGAAGGGAAGGTGGATGGAGGGAAGGAAGGACTGAAGGAAAAAAGGGAGAGCTGGAAGCCAGTGTATTAGGAAACAAAGCAAAAACTCCTGTTCCCAGAGCTCTTTTCTTTTCCAGGGCTGACTTTGAGCCATCGAGGCAGGATAGACTGAGGGCGAGGAAGACCGAGGGGCCCACAGTTAGCACTGTTGCTTGAAGTGTCAGGACCTGAATCTTGCTCTGTTAGATGCCCAAGTCCTTTTTGTTTCTGTTGTAGACGTGAGGAGAAAAGCTCAGAGGCTATTGGCTATGGAGAAGGGGGTGTGGGGGTGTGGAGAAGAATTTGGGGCAATCATGCCAAACCACATGTCTTTCCTTTCAGTATCAAGTCGATCATTGGAGAGCCTTCCCGGTATTTTCAGAAGACATTTCCCGATCTGATGATCTATGTCTACACAAAACTATACAACACAGAATACAAAACCTACTTTTCCCAAACCCAGGATCCTCACCAGTACAGAGACAATGGAGTGAACGGCGAGCAGGGGAGAGGCCCTGAGTGCTGAGTAAGCCTTTCCAGTTCAGCGATGAGTCGCTGGTTCGCTGCATGTCCTCTGCAGGCTGTGACACCCTGGCCTCCACTACCGAGCCAAGTGGACAATTGAGAGGCAGGAGTTGGATAGGCGATGCATCAGTTCTTGGCATGGTGGCACCTGACAATCCAATAACACCAGCTTATACCCCAGGCACCCTAGGCCACTCTAGCAGGGAGAACCCTTGGGGGAGTGCCTTGGTCCTTGGTGCTGCCTGTGCTTCCTAAATGATCCCTTTTAGCTCTTCCAACCACCCTGCAAGAGAGGGTTTAGTATCCCCACTTAAGAGCTGAGGGAGCTGAGGCTCAGAGTCTGAACTGCTCGACCAAGACCAGACAATGTTTATCAAGCACGAATGAATGGCTGTGGTGCTATCTTGCCTCTCAACTGGGTGCCTGTGGACTAAACAACTGGCCTAGGACTTTTCTGGATAAGACTCAAAAGGAATTAGAGGAGCTCCAGGAAGTTTATTCATCCCCCCAACCCCCCTGTTCATTCAGCACCTTGTCTAATGATCACAATACTAACTGTACGGACCTCATTCCTTCTGGAATTGCCCACACTGGTTTTCCATGGCCTTAAGGCAGAAGTTTCAACGGAGGGAAATTTTGTTTGCCCCCACCTCCCCTGAGCTATTAGCGATGCCTGGAGACGTGTTTGGTTGTCAGACTGGGATGGGTGGGGATGCTCCTGGAATGCAGTGAGCAGAGACTGGGATGCCGGTAATGTTCTAGAAAGCACACAGCAGCTTCCTGAGACAAAGAATTCTTTGTTCAACATGCCCACAGAACTAAGGGTGAGGAATCTGCCACAAGGGGCTGGAAAGCCTCTTAGCTGACTGGGACCCCAGACGGTGGACGTGTGGACCCCCCC